TTGTTCGTAGTTAAAGTGATTAATTACCCGCCTGGCACTTAGTGAAGGGGTTTTATTCCCTCCCTAACTTCAGGGGAAAATCTCTACCTGGGGAAACAACCTTCCTCGGAGAAGTGACTTTGGTTAAAACACATAGTGCCAAGAAGGTGAGCAAACATATTAAGAACAGTATGCCATATATGCCAGGTCCCTTAAAACAGCAACGATGGACCGGCTCCCGGCAACTTGTGTGTCTTTCATAAACCTGAGTTTGTTAAAAGAGCAAGGTTGTATCATATTCACATTTGTAACTCTATATTCCCTGACAGTATACCTAGCAGTAGGCACTCAAATGTTTGTCTCCCTTGTTGGTTTTGCTTAGTGGTTAGAATATCGGCCTACAGACCGAAGGATCTTGGATTTGATTCCCGGTCAAGTGCTTGTACCTCAGTTGCAAGTTCAATCCCCAGCCCCAGTCAGGGGGCACATGTGGTAGGAAACTAGTCAATGTGTCTCCCTCACATCGATATTTTTCTCTCTCTCCCCCTTCCTTCCTCCCTTTCACTCTCTCTAAGAATCAATGGAAAAAATATCCTCAGGTGAGGATTATAAATAAATAAATAAATAAATAATGCCAAATGATTGGATAAATGAATAATTGGAAGAATATACATGAAATAATATTATTTAAAAAATAATACTTCAGTGATTCTGCTAACAGAATCATTCATGAATATAATTTTAACTGGAAGCTTAAGATATCTTATTTGAAATGTTTGAAAAGTAAAGGCAAGCCCGGCCAGTGTGGGTCAGTGGTTTGACATCAATCCAGGAACCTGGAGATCAGGGTTGGATTCCTGGTCAGGGTACATGCTTGGGTTGCGGACTTGATTCCCCAGAATGGGGCCTGTGGGAGGCAGGTGATTAATGATGTTTCTCTCTCATTGATGTTTCTCTCTAACCCTTTCCCTTCCTCTCTCTCTAAAAATCTAGAAAAACTTACTAAGAAGTAAGTGAAGGTAAATTCACAATTACAAGGAACAGTGTTTTTTGTCACATAGACTCAGCAGATAGGAAATTATTATGATCTATGCATAGTCTTTCCAAAAGAAGTCTTTAAACTTAGAAAAGCTTTTCTTAGGAACACTCTACTTACCACCCAAATAATAATTTTCATGAAGGCAGTCTAAAAACAGAGAAGTCCTTACTTCTTGCAGTTAAATTTCAATTAAAAATTTCATTAATATGGAGCCTTGGATTTTTCCTGTAACCCTCATATTCAATTTTGTGCTAAGTATTAAAGGAATTAAAGTCAATTTCTTTACCAATGAATTATGAGGAACACAAAATAAGATAAAAGAATGAACTGGGAATATGCATACAGATATTGTGCTTTCCTATTATACAGCATAATCTGTAAATCTGGTACTAATGAGACATAAGATTTAAATGTCTGAAGAATGTATTTAGTAAATTATTGTCAATCAATGCCTCTATTCTAGGATAAACATAATCTGGAAAGGCAACACACCTATTATTACAAATTCCTAACTAAGTACAGTAGTTCATTATTTTGAAATGTCATTGTCATTTTATAGAGTAACAGATAAACATCTTTCCACCATATACCTGATTACCTTTCCCTCAAAGTAAATGAAACACTGACTATTAAGAAAAATTACAAACAACAGTTTTACAACAATAAAAGTAACCTAGTGAGCATTAAAACTGTAAACTAGTTATAACATTATAAACTAGCTAGAACAAGGCTAAAAGCAAAAATAGACTATGGCTATTGTCATAGAGTGATAATTGCTTTCCTCCTTTTTGTTGCCAATAGCCCCTCATTGGAGCAAAGCACCTCTCTGTCTCCAGAATCTAGCCCAGTACTACATATTTAATAAATGCTCAGTAAGCACTTACAAAACCAAACTGATAATCATTAATGAAAATGTCTATGAAAAAGCTTTAGGCAGTTCTGTCAAAAAGAAGCTCATTTAATGTATTCTTCTTCCTCCTTCTCTTCTTCCTTCTCCTTCTCTTCCTCTTCTTCCTCTTCTTCCTCCTCCTCCTACTCCTCCTCCCCGGTCCTCCTCCTTGGTTGTAGGTCCTTGCCTGCAAACTTTCTGTTGATAAATCAGCTGACAGTTATAGGTGCCCTCCCTTATAGGTAACTAACTGCTTTTCTCTTGCTGCTTTTAAGATTCTCTCTTTGTCTTCAACCTGTGGCATTTTAATTAAGATGTGTCTTGGTGTGGGCCTCTTTGGGTTCATCTTGTTTGGAACTCTCTGCTTCCTGGACTTACAAGTCAATTTCTTTTACCAGGTAGGGGAAGTTTTCTGTCATTATTTCTTCAAATACGTTTTCAATATCTTGCTCTCTCTCTTCTCCTTCTGGCACCTCCATAATGCGAATGTTGGTACTCTTGAAGTTGTTCCAGAGACTCATTATACTATCTTCATATTTTTGGATTCTTTTTTCTTTTGGCTCTTCTGATTGGATGCTTTTTGCTTCTTCATATTCCAAATTGTTGGTTTGATTTTTGGAATCCTCTACTGTTGAAACCCTATAAATTATTCTTTATTTCAGTTAGTGTATGTTTATTTTCTGACTGGACTTTTTTTATGTCATTGTTTTTTTGTTTTGTTTTTTAAATATTTTTTATTGATATAGAGAGGAAGGGAGAGGGATAGAGAGTCAGAAACATCGGTAAGAGAGAAACATCGATCAGCTGCCTCCTGCACATCCCCTACTGGGGATGTGCCTGCAACCAAGGTACATGCCCTTGACTAGAGTCAAACCTGTGACCCTTCAGTCCGCAGGCCAACACTCTATCCACTGAGCCAAACCGGTTAGGGCTTTTTTTACATTTTTGACATTCTCACTAAGATCCATGAAAGTCTCACTAAGTTCCTTGAAGCTCTCATTAAAACCCTTGAGTAATCTTATAACCATTGTTTTGAATTCTGTACCCAGTAGCTTGCTT